CAATAGTAAGATATTGAACACAATAGTTAGATTTGAACTCGTCATAGTTAATGAAATTATATTTTTAATTATTAGTTTCAAGAACCAAATATTAATAATTTTAAATTTAATTTATTCTATTTTTTACCATCATTCCAAACACTTCAATTCACTATTTTTTTATTGTCATTCTTAAATTCTTGATTCTTAAAGGAGAAATTTTTATAATATTTAAGGAGTAACTACTATACATGTATAATAGTTATTCCATGAGCTCATTTTTTAGGAGAAAGATAGATATATATATATATATATAAAAGAATCACATCTTGATTCATAAAAAGTGACAAAAAGATTTACACGTTGGTTCAATTTTTTTTATAGTTTTCTCTCTCCTTTTTATGTCTATCTCTCTCTATGAAATGAGTCCATGGAATAATTATTATACATGTATAATAATTACTCATTCAATATTATAAATTTCTCCTCTCAAAGTACACCTAAGTTTTTCTTTGTATTTTATTAGAAAAAAAGAGCAAATCTTTTGAAATAATAAGGGGATATGAATGCTACTACAAGCTCATTGGCATCCTAAATGCTTAAGATGGAATCAACCAACAATGGATAAACCCAACAAAACCATGCATTTGAATCTTGAAGGAAACTCATCATATTAGATCTCCATTAGTATTATTATAACTATTGTTGCTATTATTATTATCCTCCTTATTTGGAGAGAATATTATGTTTTAAAAAATAAAATAAAGATAAGGAATCTGAAAACTTTGCAAAGATTCCAAATAATAGGGGCAATCAATCCCTCTTTTAATGCGAGACCGGATGGGTGGATTGAGCTGAATGTTTGCCATTTAGTCAGATTGGCGAATGTCATGGCACTAATTATGAGATTCCTATCATAAGACCAACCCCCATGTGAGCTCCCATGGCCCACAATTCCATTCAACTCTTCTCCTTCCTGCGAATAAGTAAAGTAAAACAAATACTGCCCAAACGTTCAAAATCCTAACATTACATGTATATTTTCTACCAGACAGAGAGACAACAACTGTGAAAGCAACCTCATTTGCAATATATATATATTCAACGAATGGATTATATATTTATATATATATATTCCATTTGTTGAATATTATTATATCATGTACATGTAGTAATGATCGGGAGGCAGGCATGGTTGATATTTTCAAGTAAAAAATGCCAGAAACTAATTCTAAACAAGCATGCTGCGGCTGCCTCTCCTCCCTGAATCCGATATTATGATTTCTACGACTATTCTGCCGACGGCATGCATGTATGCTGACTGTCATGCTCTCCTTCCATCTTTTTTCGAGATTTTAAATTATAAATATTGCGGTATGTTTAAATAAACATATATAAAAATTCTTTTGCAAGAAAGACGTGTGGGTCCTGCGGAGTTTTCTATGATAATTATTAATTAATTAATAGCAAATTTGATTCATATATAGTATCTCTTAGAAGCTCCACGCAAATTATCCTCCTATATATGGTTTTTTTTTTTTTATAAATTATAGCTCTAATTGAAAACTAAAATTTCCATATATAGAGATTAATGTAGTTATAAAGTATTTAAAAATGCGTTAATAAAAATATATAACGTACGTAAGATAATTCTTTTTTGATAAAAAATATTTTAGAAGCAATTTTCAGTTACCAGGATTAAATCAATCAATCTCTCTAATTTGATTAAAAAACAGCTGGCTGTTTAATTATCTTAATTATAGCTTGATACAGATTTTATTTTTCACAATCTAACATAATGTTTGAACTGGCCAAATTGATCATCATGTCAATCTTCTAGTATTATATATAAAATGATTCTTAATTAGAAAACTAACTCACCTACTAATTCAAAATTTTGGATTAGGCAATGAGTAGGTGACTATGACAGTATCATATGCTAATATATGCATAAATGTCCATATATAAAAGAAAATCACATATATTTATTAATTTTCTAATTAAACAGATCAAGTGGACAATTTATTTATTTTTAAGATTTGGAAACACGTCCAAATCTTTCACACACACATATATATAGCCGTTGGTGTCCAGCTGGTTTGCCTTTTACTTGGAGCAACAGGCAGGCGCAGCTATATATAAATCCCTCAAAATTTGAGAGAGGGTTACCTAATCCTTGACCACATCAATAACACTCCATTTTTTTATATATATACATGCTTCCTGTCATTTTATCTCTCTAATAATTTTGGTCTTTCCCCCTCCTAATCAGTCCTTCGCCGGAATTATATGCACTGTTAATTTATTTGTATTTGTATTTTTTTTCAAAAAATTAAAACTGGTTTCTGAACATCCTTACATTGAAAATTAAATTAAAGAAGAAGAAGAAGGAGCAGCTAACATACAATGTTCGTAGTAGGTTTACGCATGGAAAAGCTTGCTTTCTGAATAAACTAACTTTGTCATGCTTTAAAAATTAAGAGCAAAAAAGTTATCGAACTTAAAAGTTTGACAGTAAAATGGATTGAGACTTGGGAGTTGGGTTTGTCTGTTCTTATTTTTTGTCCTTTTTGTTCTTGGGCTGTTGTTTAAATTGATTTATCATGTTTTGGTTAAAAAGGAGGGGTTAAGTTAATCAATATTTATTCAATTAACAAGTGGAAATACGTACACTACTGCCTAGCTATTTCAAATATTTCTTACCGTTGTCGTTTTTCCTTTCTATTTTTTATAAAGAAAAAAAAAAAAATTTGAAATATGAATCTCTGAAAAAATGAAAGTCCGCAGTTGTAATATCTCCAAAAATGAAAGTGTCAATCTTCATATATATTCCTTGGAACCTCTTAATTCCTTAAAATTATTAATTAGTCATTTTCTTTTTGGAGACTTTTTAGCCTCGCTAGCGTAGAAGACGTTCAATCCAATTAAGTTGCAGCTGTACTCCATATCGATCTTTACTCAATTTACAGGCTTCTCAATATATATATATATATATATATATATATATATATATAGCTGGATGTTAGACAGAAAATCTGATCCTGATTAATCTGACATAACCAGTTGAATCTGGTTCTTTAAATAATTTACAGGGTGATCAATGGCAGAACATTTCCACGTTAAACACATATAGAAATTCAACAGTACTCTGAACCTTTCTCACTTGGCGCGGCAAACAGCAATTAACGGGGACAATTTAGCTGCAGGTGCGATTACTATAGATTGACGTTAATCACCGCATTCTATATTATTCAAATACTCCAACCAACAAACTATATATTATTTCACGTACGGGTGTCATCCATGATTTCTTCTTCGTCTTCTTCTTTTCGAACTGTAAACACTCTTATTATTTCACAGTACTGTTAAGAATAAATCTGTCACATTGCTAAGTATCATGATATCATGGGATAAATGTCAACGTCAAAGAATTAATAACTATTATAAAAATACTGTAAATGTTTTTTACAAGTTCATTATAAAATAAAGTTAGCATTTTTATACAATCTAATATATGTATCAATTTCTCAATCAAATCTTTGATATCACCTACTAAATACACATACACGAATCAAAACCATGTACTTTCCCCTTATTTGCTGCTTATATATATATATATATATATACTTTGCCTAGTCAATCATGCTCCACACACAAATTTATTCTTTTTTTTTTTTTTTATAAGTCATCTTTTATTTTGAATAAAATATTATTTATAATTTTATTATTGTAATTTTTATTTATTTTTAAACTGGGTCAAATATGGCTTCCATAAAGATGCAAAGTGGAATAACTTTTAAAATGAAAAAGGCTTACAATCTGTAGATTTTTATACTTACACTCAAATAAAAAAAATAAAATAATAGACACTCAAGTAAAAATAAAGTGAAATATACGTCGTATTAAGTTAATTTTCACATTAATGTGCATTTGAAAAAATTTTTAAAAACTATTTGATCATAAAAAATTTCGAAATTACCACATTCAAATAACAACAATGAGATAAAAAAAAAACTAAAATAAAAGAAATCCATAAATTTGCGCGTAAAATATATAATATTATCTTCTCTACAATCAAAACATCATAGTGATATAAAGGTTGATCTTTCAGCCATATATACTAACTCTTCTTTTGCTATAATCTCTCTCACTCTTTGGGAAAAAAAATCCCTCCCATTCATATAAAGGGAGGAAAAAAAGGGAAAAATGAAAAAGAAAGATAACAATGGTTTTTACTTTTTACTGGTATTTTAGTATCTGAATAGATGACATCATATTAATTTTAAAACTCTTGCAATGATAAAATCATATATAACTATCAAATTATATATATATATATAAATAAAAGATTACCAACATACATCAATAAGTATCTCTGACATCATTCAGTATAAAAAAGAAAAAGAAAAAGAAAAGATTTTGCACTAGTGAGGAGCATTTCCTTATGTTTTTACGAGGAAAGCTATCAGTAAATGGTGAACTGAGCGTTAGCATATACGTCTTACTTTTACTACGAGGAACAAACAAAAAAGAAGCTGTAAGCAACAGCCAATCAAAACCCACAATTAATGTCAAACAGTGCAAATATCCCAAAAGAAAAAAAAATTCCAAAGCAGAAAGAATCCCATTTATTGCCGAACAGAAAAATCACAAATCACATCATTAATTAAAAAAAAAAGAAGTAAAAAATATTAAAAAATAAAGAAAACGAGTGAAAAAAGAGAAGACCAACAGCAGAAAAGCACAACGCGGGCCAGCCGCGTGGGTCCCATCACAGGCTCTTGGTACCAAAGTAAACAGAAAATAATGGCGTATCAATTCTCTCACCCATGTGATCTGAAGAGAAAGTAGAAGAGAAAGTGCTTTCTCTTCCCTTCCCTTCCTTAATTCAATTCCATTCCACTCCTCCTCTCCTCAAAAAAACAGCAAGCACTCCTCTTTCTCTCTTTCTTAAAAAACAGAAAGAGAAAAAAAAAAAAAAAACACAAACGCAATCGCACTACCTGCTGCTACTTTGTCTTCTATTCTGTCAAAATGTCAGCTCCGACTCCCACGTCGCCGCCGTCAAATGCTACGGCTCCTCCTCCTTCGACCACCACTCCACCCCCATCTCCGCCATTAACCCCTCCTCCTCCAACTCCTTCAGCTCCTCCACCCTCTTCTCCACCGCCTCCATCAACCCCATCTGTCCCAGCACCCGCATCAACACCACCACCACCACCACCATCAGACTCATCACCACCATCTTCCTCACCGCCCCCTCCCTCGCCCCCTTCATCATCTCCGCCACCTCCGTCGTCGAGACCCACTCCGCCAACGAGTACTACGCCGCCTCCCCCATCAAGGACGACTCCTTCAACGCCGACGACCAGGAGTCCGCCGTCTCCTTCCGGGACAAGTGGGGGGTCGTCGGGAATTTCGACAGGGGTGGTAGTGGGCATAGCAATTGGGGGAGTGGTAATACTTTTGGTAGTGAGTTTGTTGTTTATATGCTGTAATAAGAGGAAGAGAAGGAGACATGACAGCGAGGCTGCTTACTATGTGCCGCCTCCTCCTTCTGGTCCTAAAGGTCACATTTTTATTCTTCAGGATTTTGAATTGTTGAGATTTACAAGTGGGTTTTGAGTTTTTAACGGTATTATAAATTTTTGAGTTTTCCATTTTTTTTTATATAAAAAAAACTCCATTTTTCGGCTCAATCTAGATTTAGTTTAATGCATTTCTTAGACTGGGGACTCACTCTATGATTTTGATTGCACATTTGATGTTGGTTTAATTTCTTAATTTTTAACATTTAATTTTACGGTTTTTTTTTTTTTTTTTGATTGCATTGAAGCATTGATCTGGTCATTATTTTTTAAGTTGGTATTTTGAATTACAGGACTGTTTTTCTCTTTTTGCAATTTTTTAAAATAGTTTTCACAAAATTGGTGAAGCTCCTGAATGTTTTTGCTATATATAATTGGAATCAAGGCTTGGTAACGTGGAAATGATTGTTTGGAGAGATTCATTTGTTAAGAAAAACCCCTGCATAATCGGTGTTTTTGGTGTTTAGATGAGTTTTCATCAGCATATGATATCAATAGAAAGTGAAGGAAGAGGAAGTGGTGTATCATTGGTAGATGAGGTTTTATTGGGATATGTTTTCATGCATTTGAAGTTCCAATTTTGTGGCAAACCGAGATGCATTTCTCATTCTATTAAGAACAAGATGACTGTTTAGTTGATTTTCATCTTTCAGATGCCACTTTCTTGTAGTAATTTTGTGTTCAATAGCTCACTTTCTAGCATTTCTTGGTGATTACCAGATGATCCGTATGGTGGCAGACAGCAGTATTGGCAACAAAATGCTCCCCCACCACCTGATCGTGTTGTTGCAGCAATGCCGAAGCCCCCTCCTCCGCTGCCAATTGCATCAAGGCCCTTGCCTCCTTCAGAGCGTGTTTCAATGCCACCACCACCACCTCCACCACCTTTCATGAGCAGCAGTGGTGGCTCTGGCTCCAATTATTCTGGTTCTGAACGCCCATACACACCCCCTTCTCCAGGCATTGCTTTGGGTTTCTCTAAGAGCACATTTAGCTATGAGGAATTAGCAAGAGCAACGGATGGATTCTCAAATGCCAACCTTCTTGGGCAAGGAGGTTTTGGGTATGTGCACAGAGGAGTACTTCCGAATGGGAAAGAAGTAGCTGTCAAGCAGCTAAAAGCAGGAAGTGGGCAAGGGGAGCGTGAATTTCAGGCAGAAGTTGAGATCATTAGCCGAGTGCATCACAAACATCTTGTTTCATTGGTTGGATACTGCATCACTGGGTCTGAGAGGTTGCTTGTATATGAGTTTGTTCCAAATAACACTTTGGAGTTTCACTTACATGGTATGTTAAAGCACCAAGTACATTGTTTATGTGCTAAATTTTCTATAAATATTTCAATTTCTTTATCTCAGCTGTTTGTTCATAATTATGCTTTTTCTATGATGAATGTTGCATGGCTGTTTTTATTTTTAATGCCATTGTGATTGCATTGTTGATTTGTGTAGACACTGTAACTCCGTATCAGATCAATTTAACTAGGCACCATGTGCATTAGGGTAACATGTATCTGATAGAAGATAAACATTTCAGGGAAGGGGCGGCCCACCATGGATTGGCCTACCAGACTGAAAATTGCGTTGGGTTCTGCGAAAGGTCTTGCATACCTGCATGAAGATTGTAAGTTTTATCTTCTCTTTCTTCCCCTTCCTAGCCCTCAATCTCTTATGTGCATGAAACTCTACTGCTACACCTATGCATATTGTTATTAATGTGACCCATAATCTTTATATGCAGGTCATCCTAAAATCATTCATCGTGACATCAAGGCAGCTAATATACTTTTGGATTTCAAGTTTGAGGCAAAGGTATTAGCTGCTGCATTCAGCTCATGTGATCCACGAGATATGGTTTCTTTTAGTCAGATTTAATTGGTTTAAAGTAATTGCTGCACTTATCATGAATATTAAATGGAACTCATTTGATCTTTTTTAAGTTTTACCTGTTGATATTATTGCTATTGAGTATATAAATCTGAATTTTACATTTTTTCTTTTTTCCAGGTTGCTGATTTTGGACTAGCAAAGTTGTCTTCTGATGTCAATACTCATGTCTCCACTCGGGTGATGGGAACTTTTGGGTATGTCCAACTCCTTTTATAATCTAGTTGCATAATATAATAGTTTGTTGGTTGATATTTTCAAAGATGAACCAGATGAAGACCTTGGTTTCTTCTGCTTGCTTTTCCTGAATGCTTGTTATCAGATGAGGCGGTTCTTGTTTTTCTAGATCTTGTTTTCATAAAATTTTTTATTCAAACATCCTGGATTTTGAGAATCCAGTCTTCTCAATTTGTATGTTTTGAATCCCATCCAGTGCATTTGTATTGAGACCTTAAAACCAGCTTAAATAGTCCATCTTGAATTGTTGGGTTTTGTCTTTGTCATTAATCTTTCAGCTGATTGTCATGATAATGGCCAGATATGCTGTTTTGGTTTATTTTTCTACTTAGGTTTAAGCTACTTTGGCCAGAGATCACCGTGGATGACTGTTAATATTCAGATTATGTATTGTTCATGTATTGATATGTTCTGCATCCAGGTATCTGGCTCCAGAATATGCTTCAAGTGGAAAACTAACAGACAAATCGGATGTTTTCTCCTTCGGTGTCATGCTTCTGGAATTGATCACTGGTCGTCGACCTGTTGACTCAACTCACTCTTACATGGAGGACAGTTTGGTAGATTGGGTAAGCTCTAACACTTCCCATCTGCTCGTACAATCACCCATGCCTGAAAACAATTACCACGCATGTATGCTGGCAAACATGTACAGACGCTTTCAAACACATTTTTAATTGGTCAAAGTTGTGGATGCCACATTGATCTATATATGCATTTGTAGGCAAGGCCTTTACTGACTCGGGCTTTGGAAGATGGAAACTTTGATGCTCTGATTGATCCAAAACTGCAAAATGATTATGATCACAATGAGATAGCTCGCATGGTTGCTTGTGCTGCTGCTTGTGTGCGTCATTCAGCTCGGCGTAGACCACGCATGAGTCAGGTAATTAGTTAAATGAAACTTCAATATTTTTTTTTCAGGTGCAAGCCGAAAACTTGTTAGATGTATACTCTGTTACTCTGTCCTAGTTGGACAACATTATTCTGATAAAAGTGTGGTGATATAGGCCACGGTAAACTGTCCTAATTGACATCTTCAACTTGTAACCAAGCAGGTAGTACGAGCTTTGGAAGGAGATGTATCTCTCTCTGATCTCAATGAAGGAATAAGACCTGGGCATAGCAGAGTCTATGGTTCATATGGCAGTTCAGACTATGACACTAGCCAATACAATGAGGACATGAAAAAATTCAGGAAGATGGCATTGGGAAGCCAGGAATATGCTGCAAGTGGTGAGTACAGTGGACCAACCAGTGAATATGGTTTGTATCCTTCTGGCTCGAGCAGTGAAGGCCAGAACACCCGTGAAATGGAAATGAAAAAGATGAAGAAGATCAGTGAAGGTTTTAGTGGAAGTTTATGACAACTTGACGCCTAATTTTTCCGTAAAGACCCATCCCTTCTCCTCTTAGTCTTCACTTGATGCCACATTGATTGCAAGAATGCCATGTTTTGGATGTGTAAACGCATACAAATTTTTTTTTCTTTTATATATATATATTATTTTATACTGATTTTGAAGTTTGTTCTTCTTACTACGTGTATTTAGTAGTGCTTACATACAAGAAAAATAACGAGACAGCTTTTGTTGATTCTTTTATTCTTTGCACAAGTGTTGATAGCAACTTGTTTGTTGAAATTTGTTGCCACCTTTGATTGTTTCTTGTACGTCATCTTTTTCATCAATTTGATTGAATTGTGGTTTAACCATTACGTTAAAGTTCTGTTGAAGCATAGTTGACACAAGAATTACTGGTGTTTCTGGCCTTTCTTCTGCAAGCATACAGGCTATTTTATTCAAAGATTAAATATAAAGATTTTTTTTTTTTTTTTTTTGTTTTTTGAAAAAATGAAACCGGTGAGACCGACCTTCTTGGTGGGTCGAGTTGTGCTAAGATCGATCTTGAAGAAGCTCTAATGGTGTATTCAAGTTTTGTGTGGGGTAAACCCTGGTTTCAAGTCCTTTTTACTTCGGGATCAAGGTAAGGTCGAGTGGGACAGTCAGCTAGTTGTCTGATTAGGGACTAACCAACCTACTTGAATCGACAGCACAAAAGGCGGTCTGTGCTAGTTACAATCCTGTACAGAGCCAATTTTGAACGAGTAATGTCTGAATGCGCACGCACGCACCGTCTGGCTTTCACCAACGCATTCTTGCATCATCATCAACTTGCACCATTCTCTCTATTAAAATAACTTAAATAACATCTCGAAAGCCAGTCAGCCAGGCAGTTCCCACTGAGCAGAGAGAGCAAAACGAGATAATTTCCAAGTCAAACCAAGTTTAATTGTCGAGTGCTTATAAAGTCATTGAAATTTGAAAATGACAAGGTGGTCAGTGGTCACACCAAATTAGATAAATAAGAAAATGGCACGCCAGCTTCTGATACTTTCTTCCCTCCAGCAATTTAGAAAATTGAGCATTATTCTTAGTGGCAGTTGTACACAGCTAGCGAGTTCTGGTGACCCCACCAACGCTATAACGATTGGGAAAGCACATTTTGTAAACAGGTTGCAGGGACATAGCAGTCGGACTGGTGCACCTACAACTGCAAGAGGTCCAATTTTAGGAGCCCAAAAGAGAACGAGGTACGGAGGTAGTAAAAATGGATACCGAGAGATTATGGAAAGCAAAACAATAAATGATGCTCCTAAATTATTTTGCCAACAGGCCCCGGATCAATCCAGCTAATTCCCAACTCAAATTACGATTCAAGCTATTCACAATCCATTTAATTAAAACTTTCCCTCTGGAAAGGAAGAAAAATGGATTATACACAAAAACAAAAAAGAGGATGGAAATTCTCTCATATTTCATTTTATCATGTTAACTTTAAACATTAAATTCAAATTAAATAACGATATAATTTAATACATACTATAAAAAAGTTTTAATCATTTTATATTTTATTTCTCTTGTTTAATTCAAATAATTTATTTAAAAATAACAGGTGAGATTTGGAACATAGTGGTTATGTTCCTCTTAAAAACATGGGGGAAAAAAAGAATAAGGAAAATTGTTGTTCGTAATGGTCGTATGCAGGCCTTGATTTTTATACAAAGAAACGCAAGGGCGGAAGTGGTGGTTGGGGATGGGGAATGAATCAAACAGGACAAAATCATAGTAAATTAGGTGTCACCGCACCTTTTTAACAATTTTTTTTTCAATAACCAAATTTCTGCAATTCCTTTCATTTGTTCCATCTCAAATGAAAATATAAGCAAGTATGTAATCCAATCCTCTTGACATTGGTAACTAATTATAGTCGCTAAATTAATTGAAATCTATTGCCTTCCACCAATTCTTGATTTAAGACTCCAAGACCCCATATATAGATGAATTAACTATAATTTAGTTCTTATAGTTTAGTAAAACCAATTAGTTAATCTCTGTAGTTTCAAAAACCATATATTTTAAGGGTTGTTTTCTCGAATTCATTTATAACTTAAGTTTCTTTTTGTTTTTTAAGGTCAATTTCTTTTTTTTTAAATATTTTTTATTTTTTATTGAAAAAATAGGAAAAGAATAGAGAAGTAGGTAAGATGAAAAAAAGCATTTTTGAAAAAAAAAAATGGTCAATGCAAATCAAAGAACTAAGACTAATTAATTAGTTTTGATAAACTAAAGGGACTAATTTATAATTAACACATTGCACACCATATTTCTTTTGAGTTATGACATGTTTGGTTGAAATGCTAATAGATAATTGATTTGTAATTAGTTATGTCCCTGTTAGTATCCACGGCCTCAACCATGCATCTTTTGCCTTCTACAAGCTATTTTAAAAAGAAACAATAGAACAAGTGATATTGAATTACATAAGTAATTAGTAGAGTGTTTGATATTAATTCTCAACTTTATTTATCACTATGCTCGCCTTTAAATAAGCTTGTTTACAATGGAAAAGAAATAAACTAAAAAATAGAATAACAACCTAAAGACATATTCAAAAGCAACTAACTAGGAAACATGTAATGCAAGATAGGACCGTGCCACATAATGAGGGGTCCATTATTAACTATAATAGACTAATTCCTAAGAGTTACATGTTAGCATGACTATTGGCTAACTTTAATACTCGTCCCCTCTTGAAAACACTCATTCTCTTTAAGGAGTAGGAAAATCCGTAAGAAAATTGGCTCCGTTGATCCGGATGGCATATGTTTCGGTCTTTCCTTTCCATCGGACCAAATACTCCACATTCCTTCCTCGTCCACGAACATCAAGGATAGTTTCGGAATTTTTAAAGTGCCTTCACTCGGTGCCGCAAAAATCTAACAGTTGAGTAGAAGCTTGTCCGGAATCACTCACACTTTTCTTCAATATTGAAACATGAAATACTAGGTGAATCTTACTAGAAAGTGGAAAGATCAATTTATAAGAAACTTTCCTAATCTTTTTAATCACCCGAAAAGGTCCGTAAAAAAGAGCAATAAGTTTATGAGAAGCCCTTTTAGCAACTAAGGTTTGTATATATGGCCGTAGTTTTACATGCACCCAACCTCTTCGTATAAACTCATGCTCCACATGATTCGATCATAAACTTGGTTCATCCAATTCTAAGCTCCTAAAAGTTAAAGCTGAAGCTTCGAAGGGTCTGTTCCCTTTGAAGCGAGAGAATCCTCTATTGCTTGTACTTTGACCATCCCGATTATATAAGAAAGAAGAGTTATGGGGGGAATGGGGTGCATAAAGAATTTTGAAAGAGTGAGCCTTGCTCGAAGAATGGAAGCTGGTGTTATAGCAATAGTCTACCTAGGCAATCCATTTGGTCCATTCCTTAGGCTTGGAACCAATGAAGTAGCAAATGTACATCTCAATGGTTCGTTCACCACCTCTAATTGGCCATCTATCTATGGATGATAAGCGAGCTAAAATTAAAATGTGTTCTTTACAAACCGAAAAGCTCCTTCCAAAAAGCATTGGTGATGGTAGGGTCTTTATCGCACACAATAAATTGAGGTATGCCATGGAGATTAAAAATATTATCAAAGAAAACTTGGGCAACATTCGAGGTTGTGTAGGGATGGGAGAGTGGCATGCGGTGGGCATACTTGGATAGTTTGTCAACTACCACCAATAGGGACTTTTGTCCATTTAAAGTCGGGAGGCCCTCAATGAAGTCCATAGCAATATCAACCTAAACTCGTGAGGGAATAAGTAAAGGATTAAGCAAACCATTAGGTTTCTATAATTCCGAATTGTGGCATTGACAAACATCACACCCTCTCATGACTTGACACAATCTTTCTTTCATTTTCTTTTAGTAAAAAGTTACTTTTAATCCGTGAAGTGTTTTGTGATTACCTTCGTGGCCACTCCTATGTATTTCTTATAGTACAACCAAAATCAATGAAGACCCTTATAGTAGGTAAATTCCATCCTTAAAAGAAAAGGATCCCATATTTATTTGCCAAAGATCAACCACCTCTCCTTACCGCACTAACCCATATAATCGATGCAATTTTAGGTGGACCTTATTTTCAATGATAATCGGATCAAGACATTGAGGCACATGTGTAGAAATGGCATTGAGTTCACCTTATCCCCCTTCCGGATAGAGCATCGACAATAGCATTGCAATATCCTTATTTGTATTCGATGCTATAATCATACCCTCGGTAACTTAATGAACCATTTTTGTTATGCCTTTATAGTGATCCTCTATTCTAGTAAGTATTTAAGACTCTTTTGATCGGTTTTGATTATGAAGTGTCCTCTCAACAAATATGGACTCCACTTTTGAACTACAAGGGCGAGAGCCATAACTTATTCTTATAAGTGGAGAGAGATAGGTACTAAAATAGGATATAGACCATTGATTTTGCATGAGTATTGCTCGATTCCTTATCCCTCCGATTCCTTATCCCAATGCATCACACTCTACCATAAATGGTAGAGAAAAATTAGGAAGGACCAAGATTGGTGCTTTAGTCATGGCTTCCTTGAACATCTAAAAGGCGTCATGTGTTTCCCATTGCTAAAAAAAGCATTTTTCTTTAGTAAATTGGTCAAAGGGCATGTTATTATACCATATCTAGTGATGAACCTTATGTAATAGCTAGTTAATCCCAAAAATCCCTTAGTTCTTTAACATTTTTTGGTGCGGACACGTCGATCATTGCTTTAATTTTATTCGGATCAGCCATTATTCCCCGATGGTTTATAATGTGCCCTAAATACCGAATCTACGTCCGAGCCAACTAACACTTTCTTTCTTCATAATAAGTTGGTTAGCCCTCAAAAAAAAAAAATAATATTTGCATGATGTAGTTGTTCGGTCTCACTTTTGCTATTTATTAAAATGTTATAAAAAAACTAGAATAAATTTCCTCAAACACTTTTGAAAAATATCATTCATAAGTGCTTAGAAAGTAGAGGGTGCATTTGATAGGTTGAATGACATTACCGGAAATTCATAGTGATCATTGTGAGCATGAAAGACGAGTCTTGGCATTATCGTTTAGATGCATCTATATTTGATGGTACCCAAACCGTAGGTCTAGTATAAGAAACCATTTTGCCCTTTTTAGTTCATCTAGTAGCTCCTCAATCACCGATATAGAAAACTTATCCTTGATAGTAACTCGATTCAAGCTCAATAGTCTACATAAAATTTCCATAAGTCATCACTCTTTTTACCAATAATACTTATGAAGAAAATGGACTTTTACTTGGGTGAATGAGCCTTTGGGTGAGCATCTTAATGACCAACTTTTTCGTCTTATTCTTTTTATAGTGAGGGTATCAAAATGGTTGAACATTCACAAGTCGACTACTTTCCCTTAATAGGATTCTATAATCATGATTTCTCCTTGGTGGTAATCCGGTTACCTTGTAAAAAACCTTCAAAAATTCTTTTTAGATAGTTTGTCATTCATCAAACTCACTAGAATTCCGATAAGGCATTAGGGATATCTATAACAGGGTACCTCATCCCCGTGTCTATCTTAAGGCATATTGTATAGCCTTGGTCCTCACTAATCGTGCCGTAGGGGCTTTGAGACCCCTTAAAGTCACCTCTCTAGAGCCTATAGTGAATTTCATCTCCTGTTTTAAAATTCCACAGTATTGGTCCTAATGTTTGAAGCCATTGAGCTCCCAATGCCGCATCACAAACTTCCAAAAGCAATACTAAAAACTCAACTCTAAATACGGACTCAATAAGTAGTAAGGGTACCTACCGATAAAGACCCATATTATCGAGTTTCTCTCTACTAGTAAGCATCACCTTTAAAGATGGTCCTTGCTCAATTTAAAGTCTAACAATTTTGGCCACCCTTTTATGTAAGAAATTATGGATGGCCTCAAAGTCGATGAGTACCGTGTAAGGTGACCCGTGATTCTAGCACATATCCTCATGGTCCGAGGCATGAGAATGCTAGTGAGAGTTTGGATGGAGATTTTCAATGCCTCTAGTTCCGTGGTGGAGATATCTTCGAGGGACCCATCCGATAGAATCTTGGGTCCTAGCTCCAGCTCGGTGAAGAAAAGCTTTTGCAAGTATGACTCACCATATAAGCCTCATTGCAATGAAAGCACAACCTCTACCTTTGCCAATGTTGTAGCTTCGATAGGGTGAATCTTCGAACTAAAGTGGAGGGAAAGAGAGAAGAGGATTGATTAATGAATCCTCTAGCTCTGAATCTATAGTAGGCTTTCCTTATTTAGAGTAGAGGACATTAGGTCTATACATCGACCCTTAACTATTCCTTTAGGCCACTAATGAAGGCCCACTTCACGATCATTAGCCAACATTCTAGCCACTTACTAGTAACTTGTCAAGCTGATTTTGATACTCATGAATAATATTAGTTTGTTTTGGTTTATACAAATCGATAAATGAGTTTTCATAAGTGGAAATACCAAAATTTTGTATCAATCCCTTCTTCAATTCAAGCTATGCGAGCCCGGGATGTAAATTCTTTTGGTATTGGACCCAAAATTAGGCATCCCTTTTGAGGTGGTATGTCGATAAACGTACTTGTCCTTCTAGAGTAGTGTTTTGATAGTAAAAAAATCACCCCACTCGACTAATCTAGAGTGTGGGATCTTCGGTCTTGATATAATACAAAAAGTCTAACTTGACTAATTTAGGAGTAACATTCCCATTGGCCCCATTGTCTTTAGCGACTCTTCATACCGAGCCCGACTAATTGGTGGAGGATTCCTACCCAACTTGAAATGCTTGAAAATTTTTATCATATGTCTATCGAGACTCTCAAGCTAATGCTCAAGTTGAAGGAAACGTTGGTCATTGGTTTCATCGGCCATTCCGAGCTCTAATACCAAGATGTTATGCCCCTTTTCATATCCACGACCTCGACCATGCCTCTTTTACTTTTATGACCTATTTTGAAAAGAAATAGTAGAACAAGTGATATTTAATTATAGAAGTAATTAGTAGAGTCTTTGATATTAATTCTCTATTTTATTCATCACCATGTTGCCTTTAAATAAGCTTGTTTAGAATGAGAAAAAGAAATAAATTAGGAAACAGAATAACAACCTAGAGACCTATTCAAAAGCAACTAACTAGGAAATAACTCTTCTAAGATAGGATCGTGCCACCTAACGAGGAATCCATTATAACTATAGTAGACCGGGTTCTAAGAGTTACACGTGAGCATGACCATTGGCTAAACCATGCTAATATAAATATATAAGCACGAAAGAGGGTTTAACCAATCAAATAGAGTGTGTAAAGATCCATGGAAAAGTTTGGTTATTTCTTGGGAAGGGTGCTAGGCCACCCGCACTAGCTTAGTACCGGTGTATGTTAAGGATTTTGATTCCTTTTGTATATTATATTATATTTTAGTTATAAAACAAACTAAAAGATTTAGGATCATCTATTATTTACTATGACTCGTGCACACTATGGACTAAGCCGATGGTGATTTTTCTATATATTTTATTTTGATCCATAAATTTTATTTGTAATGCACTTTGGTCCCTAAATGTAGAGAGGAAAGAGAAAATATTGGCCAAGCTTATTCCGACCACTTTGGCCGGTGATGTTCCTTTCTATTTCTTTATTTTAAAGATTGAGTTTGTTTATGATAATTTTAAGATATAAAATGATTACGGTAGGTAGATCGAAATGCGAAAACATTATGAGCTTGTAAATTTGATTTGATTTTTTTTTATCAAAATTAGTTTTAAGGTTCCAACCATGTTTTTTGTTTTTTTTTTGGGCCTCATTTCGGTGTTACCAAAGTATTTTAAAGCAAAAATGATGCATGAGTTGGATTTTGAGGGAAAACAAAAACCAAAAAACTATTTTTTCAGTAAACTTTCAAGCAAATCAAGTTTGTCGAAACTTTCAATGGACGATGCGTCGTCTTCTATAAAATAGAAGACAATACGTCATCCATTGGTTTCTCTTTTTTTTTTTTTTTTTTTTTCCTTTTGTGTGGCCGGGCCATGCTAACTAGCATGCCTTTTTTTCCTTCCTTTCTTTTGTTTTTTTAGCAATTTTTTAATTATTTTTTAGTATTGTTTTTTTGCTAAACTTATGTTTTTTTTTTTTAATTTTTCTTATCGCCTAGTGATGAAGAAATATGATTTCTTCGATTTGTCATTTTTTATTTATTTGCTTTCAAAATTTAAAATAATTTTTTTGAGTAAAAATCCAATAATTTTTTTTATTTAGTTTTTATATAATTTTATTTGTTTAAAAATATTATTTATTTTTCTCTATGTATAAATTTTTGAATAAATTTTTAGAATGTTGTTGTTTCTTTTTTTTTTCTTAAATACATTAATATAATTTATATGATATTTTTTTATGATTTTTAAATGAGAAAAACACACATATAATCTAAAGATTGAAATGTTTTTAAAGATATTGTGTCTTAAATTTAAAAAAAAAATACATTTTTATAATAATTAATTAAAAAAGATTTTACACATGTTATTTGCTTCTTTTTTATGTCATAAAAAATTATCAAAATCAATTTTATCATAATTTTTATTTCAATCTATTAATGTATTCCGTATAAGTTATAATTTTATATGTATTAAAAAAATTAAATCATCATTTTATTAGAAATTAACTATATATCTATACATATAACATCAATCATTTATTATTAATTTTTTTCTTTTGAATATTTTTTTATTATTTTATTTTATTTATTTATTTTGGAAAACAGGGCGGTATCCCGATAATATATTGATTAAAAATAAATCGAAACAAGAGGGGATAATCTAACCTAGCCCAATTACTAGAGGGTAAGGAAGCCTAGACCCCTAAAAGAGATACGACATATTCAACCTGAAAGGAACTGTACTATAAAATAAGGGGAACAAAGAACTAAAACTATAACAAAATAAAAGACTTATGACTACGCTATAGCTTCACGTCAAGCTAAAATGCATGAGGTAGAAGCAGTGTCATAATTGAAGATAATACCAAAAGTTAGCCATACATATATCATAGGTAATGTGCTACAAAACTTGTCTTGTAAATTGCAGAAGCTTTTAACTTAGCATAGCAAGGAGCACCAAGTAACTATCTAGCAAGAAAACTTCCTCTTTTTATCCATTCCGCCTAAAGAAAAAATCACCATAAGCATCCTCCTGAATAGCTTAAATACAAATGTGTGGAATCTCTGCTAGCGTCAGTGCTATTTTTTGAGAAGTATGATGAAACACCCATGCTGCAAGGCCATCTACAGCATGATTTCCTTCCTAGTGTACATGCTGGAATGCTGTACGCAGGATCTTATTTGCCCAGCATTCCCATAGGATGCAAGTGAGATGCCACGAGAGAGTTTGTACTTACGTCAGACCACTCAAAGTTAAAGATGAATCTGCTTCTATGATTGATGGGTGGAAGTTATAGCCTTTACATATCCTCATACCCTCTCTAATAGCCAAAAGTTATTTAGACCAGGTCCAAAGAAGATCGAGAAAGACAAGCATTTTCCCATGCTCATTATGTAGTATACCCCCCACTGCACATACCTCTCTGTGATGCACCATCGATGTTTAGTTTGAATGTACCCGGAGAAAGGAGGGACCATCTCATCCAACGACCTTTGATTATGGCAGACACATGAATCTGGATTCCTAGAGCATTAAGACATATCTTATTGTGCAACGAAACTGGACCTCTCGAATTGAACATTTAGTTTAGTTCTATCAATGAATGAATCACCTTTAGTTTGACGTTTATAACATTCATTTCCTCTCCTTCAAAGACTGATTTATTCCATGCAAGCCATAGTTCCCATATGATCATATTAAAGACCATAAATCGAGAGAAACTCTTCTGCGTTGATGTTTTGCATTTGGACAGCCATCTTCCTGCTAACTACCTTACAATAACAACACCTGGAGTAACATTCAGTAAGTTACCAAAGAAGTTTCAGTGATAAGTTGCTTCACTATGAATGAACAAATGCTTCCTAGTCTCTTTTTTGTACCTACTACAACATCTACATTTTGAGGGTAATGGAATTCCACACATTTGTACCCTTGCATCAACTGTTATGGCATTATACATAAATTTCCATACCATGATTCCTACCTTCCTAAGAATCCTTTTGTTCGAGAAGCTCCTTCACCACTCAAAGTTAGGATCGAAAATTCTATTTGCTTCATTATAATCCTTTGCATTGAATTTGCTTGAGTTAGCTTTCATGTAGCAAAGAGTATCGACCTTATTGTTATCCTGGTTAAGTGGTTTGATTCAGTTCTGATCAAGAGAGGGAGAGAGGCATATATCAAGGGGCCATTCTTTGCTTGAGCCAATGAGATCTCCACATCTATGGTTGGAGTAAAAGTAGACAAATCTAGCATCGTCTATGTGACGCCTCCAGCTCCCTTACCAATTACCTAAGAGGCGTGGCTAGGTACGTTACAGTTTAGAGACTAAAGTCCCAATTTACTCCCATAATACATGGCTAATAAATAATAACATATTAAATACGAAGGACGTATAATAAAATTTACATAACTTTAATGAATATTGTTATAGAAGTCATAGAATAACTAAGGTGTTATTTATTCTTTACTAGACACCGTACCCTTTATTATAATCAAAAGAGATTTTTATGTTTTTCGTGTCACACATGAGCCCTTTTCTAGGAGAAACCTATGGCTTCTTTATTAGCACTACCATCGCCTTTATTTATCATGGCATGAAACAACGATAGGGTGAGCCGAAGCTCACTAAGTAGGGTGATGCACGTGATATGCGAGTGCTTTCCTATTACTCTGCCTTTCCTCATCAATTTTAATTCGGCTACCCTAGGTATTAGTAAGTCTCGCTCTATTCCCATCTCTCGATAATTGTCGAATCACATACCGCTAACAATAAAATTATCCCTCGTTGTAGCAATCGGTTAGCAAAATTATCCATCGCTTAACGGTGTAATCAATTAATAAAGCGCGTACACGGCTTCATTACTAATACCCATTTAATCTAGTTAGGTTACCAAGCCTATCCAATTTCAAACTAATTCGGTTACCAAACCTCATCGGTTTTTGACTCAATTATTTTCTCAAGTCGATCCATCCTTAAATGCATATGATGTACGTGATGTTTCGTTTACCATATTCCACCAATCATGGGTACCAAACCCTTCATTTTCATACCACACTCGAAATCTAAT